TTTAAAGGAGTAGATGTCTAGGGTTTAGGGTTTAGGGTTTAGGGTTTAGGGTGTACGGCTATGGTTTATACACGTGGGTTTCACAAGGTGTAGGGTTTATGATTAATGCATCTAATCTGCAGGGCGTCTGGCTGCTCCTCTGCCTTAGCGTCAAGGGTTTAGGGTTTAGGGTTTAGGGTTTAGGGTTTGTGTTGCAGGAAGTGGAAGCAGATAAGGCTGTGGCTGAAGCTGAAGAAGCAAATGTTTCAAAGGAAAAAGAAATTGTGCAGCAGCACCGCAGCGCAGCACTAGCGCTGCAGACAGAGGCGCAGCAGGAGTTTGAAGAGGCTTTACCGGCTCTAGAAGCTGCTCTCTGTAAACCCTAAACCCTAAACCCTAAACCCTAATGACTTAGCTGCAGCACAGCAACGGTAGTCTGAGCAAGCGCTGCAGACGCAGACACATTAGGAGTTTTAAGAGGCTTTGCCTGTTCTTGAAGCCGCCCCCTGTTAACCCTAAACCCTAAACCCTAAACCCTAAACCCTTAAAAGCAACATAAGCATGCCCTAAACCATTCAAAGACACGACGGGAAACGGGGTCTGGGAATGCTGCAAGTCTTTTGGGTTGCAACTATGCTTAGGGTTTAGGGTTTAGGGTTTAGGGTTTAGGGTTTTTGTTTTTGCACGTCATCCGCTGCTACGGATGCACATGCATGCATCTATGAATCCGTTGATGTTTGTTGTTTTTCTTTTTATTTTCTTTCTGTCTATCTTGTTTAGCTTCTCTGGATTCTCTTGATAAAAGAGATATTACAGAGATTAAATCTTTTATGAAGCCTCCGCCCCTCGTTATGCTGACGATGGAAGCTGTCTGTACACTGCTAGCAGAAAAAACAGAGTGGGAGCAGTGCAGGAAGGTTCTAGCAGATACAGGTTTGTCTTTTTATTTTAATTAACTCTGTTTTATTTGTCTTTCTTTGTCTTTGCTTTGTTTTGTTTGTCTTCATCTTTGTTGCCTTTGTCTTGCTTTATTTGCATTTCTTTTGTCTCTGTTTTGCTTTATTTGTCTTTGTTTTATTTGTCTTTGTCTTTGTTTTATTTGTCTTTGTTTTGCTTTATTTGTCTTTGTTTTATTTGTCTTTGCTTTGTTTTGTTTGTCTTTGTCGTTGTTGTCTTTGTCTTGTTTTATTTGACTTTGTTTTATTCGTCTCCGTTTTATTTGTCTCTGTTTTGTTTTATTTGTTTTTGTTTCATTTGTCTTTGCTTTTTCTTTGTCTTTGTTTTGTTTTGTTTGTCTTTGTCTTCGTTTTTGTTTACCTCGCTTCAACAACCCTAAACATTTGATGCATTATAAAGGCATTAAATCTGCATGCATGCATGCATGCATGCATGCGAAGAGGGGACTCCTAACTCTCTTTGTAGAGACACCTGTTTTTATGTTAGGGTTTTATTCATTTGCTGTTTGTATGCATCAGCATTTGCATGGATCTTTGCATGCATGCATGCATGCATATATGCATGCACAGATCTTATGTTTATA